ATATAAGCACAAACTCTCTATAAGCACCAAATTCTTAAAACCAAGGGTGTGATTATAGAGAGGTTTGACTGTATTTATTTGATATTGCATTAGATTTATCCCATAGTAAGCATGGAAACTATTAACAATAACTTCGTCAATTTTACGCCAAAGCCGTGGTAATTTCGAAAATCGATATTCTTCATCTATCATTCTTATTTGATCAATTTCAGATTCGGTAATATTGGTATTATTGCCCTGACCTGCAGATGCAGCGGCTAGTGCCGTTCGAAAGCTTGTTACAGTTTCAGTAACACTCTCAATTAATGGAAAAACGTAATTTCGAGTAAATTGTGTTTCCCAATCTTCACGCTCAACTGATGTCTTTAGCGTTGACACAGGCAGAGGTGTTTGTGTCATTTTTGTAAGTAATGAATGAAATAACAATACCAAGCTTACATCTGAACAGTTAAGAATTCGTCTAAGAACTATCCAATCATCAATAATATGACCCAAACAATAATGTTCCGTATTATTTGCTATCTGGTTATGTCTGCATAGGAAAGTTAATGTTGCTGGAGAATGCGCGGAAGACCCAATTAGGGCATGAACGATTAAATGCAAAATTCTATATGAAAAAGGTGACATAGATCGAACCGAATGATTAGTCGAATTGTTAACATGCTCTCCGATATATCCAGGTTGGTCTTTGGGCTTTATAGGAACAGTTACTGACAAATGGTTAACTTCATAGATTGTATTATTTTCACATTCTGGATATATTATCGTTTCCATAGGCTGACTTCACGGTGTCATTATATACACATATCCACACTTGCATACGTATCTAGAAAATAAAATTTTGGTAATAATTCATAAAATGGTTATTAATAATTCATTAAACACCTTACCGACTAATTGGCCCACCACTTCCAGTAACTACAGAACTTAACGATTCAATATTGGAAACGATTGCTAAAATCTTGGCATGCATCTATATTATGGAAATATGCCGCAAAAGTGGCGTGGAATCTGGTGGAATTGAAGCATGCAATGCTACAATGAGCTATAACTGATTTTAAGAATAAATTGCTATTATCTATAGTATTATCTAATCGAATGAGTGATTGATCGTTTGAGAGAATTCTTTTTACTGTTTGTTTATATCCAACTGATAAATTGTTCATTGTATCAATGACCTTCAATAAATCCGCTGCTTGATTTTCTGGTACTTCCCATTTACGAGATGCCCTAACAACATGTAAGCGAATTATAATAAGTCCAATTAATGCAACTCTTGCACGAAATGCATTAATATTTTGTAATTGTCGTATAAAAGCCTGCAAAGGGGCTTTGTCACCAATGCTATACAATTCTTTAAATGCGTCCTCGGCCTGACGGTATTCCGGCAATTGCCAATATGGATTAAATGGAAGACGATACCTTTATCATTCCATTTGAAAGTGGATAACCAAGGAAATTTATTTATGTGTGCTACACAGAATCGTTTTATGTCATCGATTGAAAGACCTTTGTGACGTAATTCACGGAGAAAATAGACCTTGAGTGAATAAATTAAAGGATTGTCTATATTCATAAAATTATTGATTTCTTCAAAAAGCACGTCGCCATCAAATTCACAAACATCTATTATGCCAATAAATGAAATTGGTAGTGTATAGTCATCTTGCAATGTTAGATCCCACATGCCATATACAAATTCTTTAAGAAAAGCGATTGCTAAGATGCGTCTTAATGGTTCATATGTTTTTTCTAATAATGTTTGAACTGAAGTATCGCGCCATTTCCGGAATTTCCATATAAATAAAGAATTCTTTCTGAATAATATCGCAACAAAGAGTAGCAATTGAAGAATCCAAATTATTATTTTTTAAAGCATCATTAATCACCTTTAATCGTGGTGAGGCTTGTAAAATCTCACTCGGATCTTGCAATATCCGTAGAAACGGGTCATTAATCGTTTCTTCTTCTTTCCAAAAAATTATTATATCCGTACCCATCCTTTTCCGCCGCATTGTTGGCTTATCTTCGATCATTTGTT